GTTATTTAATCATTTTCTATGTATTTTATTACATTGGTTTGTTATTGGAGTAGATAGATAGATTAAATAGTGATGCATTTTCTTGTTCTATCGATAGAGATATGAAGAATTTTCATATGGTTTCGTTTTGTTTTTTGAAACTATTTGCTAATAAAAACAAAACAACTAAACAAATTTAATTTGATTATAATTATGCATGTTTTTCTTTTAGAAGAAAAAAAAGACAATGGCTTCATCTCGTTTATTTAATAATATTTTATTTCGATAGAAGAATTGGTATTGGTTTAGCTATTGTTGGTGGTGTGATTAGTTGTATGCTTTATAATGGTAAATATGAAAAGATTTAGAAAAACTTGTTTTCTATAAATTTAAATATATTCTAGTTGATGATGGTCATCGAGATGTTATTTTTGATCATTTTCAAGGTGTTAAACTAGATGTTATTGAAGAAGGAACTCATTTTATAATTCCATGGCTTCATAGAGCAATTATATTTGATATTCGTACACGACCACGATCTGTTCCATCAATAACAGAAATAAAAGGTATAAAAACTAGAAGAAAATAGTCAACTTCAGGAGAGAGGTGAACATGAGGAAAATGTAAGCTCGCGAAAAAAAGAAGGTAAATACAATGTCTATTGAAACATCAATGAATATATATGGCTGAGGTATCTTAAAAAATTTTATGGCCATCGATGGCGACTCAACTGATCGGTTTACACCTCTACACTCTCATCATTCACCAATCTCAGGATACTTCATAAAACTTAAAACTGGAAGTCTTCGTTATTTTTTCTTCGTATAAATGAAATATACATAAATTACATTTTATTATTTTTATTTTAGATTTACAAACAATTAATATAACATTAGGTATTCTTTATCGACCAAGAGCTGAACTTTTACCAAAAATTTCTTGCAAATTTGGGTTTAGATTATGAAGAACGTGTTTTACCATCGATTATTAATGAAGTTTTAAAATCTGTTGTAATAAATCTCAGATACTTTATTTTTGTTACTATGAATAATTAAACTGATTTTTAGTCTCAGTTTGATGCTATTGAATTGATTACACAACGTACACCTATTTCTCAATGTGTTAGTGAATTATTAACAGAACATGCTGCTCAATTTGGTTTATTACTTGATGATATTTCAGTTGTAAGATACAACAAAAAAGAGTCTCGAGTTGATTATATTATATTTTTCTTTATATTAGACACATTTAAGTTTTAGACCTGAATTTACAAGTGCTGTTGAATTAAAACAAATTGCACAACAAGATGTTGAAAAACAACGATTTTTAGTCGAAAAAGTAAATCAATAAGTATAAAATTTGTATGAGTTTGTTTTTTTTGATAAAAAAAAACAGACTGAACAAAGTCGTCAAGCAAATGTTATTGCAGCAGAAGGTGATGCTCG